ACAAAAATATCGTATTGAAAGAAGCTGAGTTAGTATCAATGCATAAAATTAATTAAGTTAAACTGAATTATACTTAAAATACCAGCATATCCTGTCAATTTCTCAGAAATAACTTTGAAATTGACTAAGCAGTGTTCTATCAACCTTGATGCCAAATGATACATACAGATTCTGCTCATGTAGGCTGGGAGAATACTTTTACTAAAAGGTGGTATTTGAAAATAATTTATGAATGCCAGTACTGATTGGAATAATGCCAGCAAATTCTGTCCACGCTATTGGTGCCTAGTTTTTCTCTCCACCTCTACACTTTCAAGGACTCTAGAATGACTCCACCTCTTCCTTAAAGCAGTGTTTAATAACGGAATAAGACCATAGGACTTTCTTGGCTTTTAGCTTTTTGATATCAACAGGGACTTCAGTAGTAGATGAGCTGTTCTTGTTGCATGAACAAATTTTCTCTGTGTGCCATCTGCTGGACCCCGCTCAGAGTGCAATGTTAACTCATAGATCTTTTCAGTTATGTTTGTACTTAGTTATCTGCACCTAAAGGGATGATAGCAAAAATGTGAACAGCATAACTCACTTTATGAAAACAGTAGGGTTTTTTGAGGGACTGTAGTTCACGATATGTAATTCTAAAAAAGACAATTTTGGAGTATTTTTTTTTCTTTAATGCATTGATGCATTTGAATGGAATTATTGCTACAGTGATGTAGATCCGTGGAACTGGGTGCTTGTCTACGTTGTAGAATTAAAGGTCTGTGTTTGAAAACATTTGAGTTATAACAGTATATAACTGTAAAAGTATATCACCTTTATAAATAGATATCATAAAGTTTAAGGCTTACAATAATAGTAGATAGGTAATGTTTTTTTGAGCCTAAACAGTCTTACCCTCTCATGTCCTGGGTAAATGTCACTTTAAAATGAGTATGTCAGCAACAAATTCCAGTCTTAGATTAGAGAAGTATTTATTTCACCATAGATCAGAGCAGATTTGGCCCAACATGCTAACTGTTTTCCTCTATCCGACAGTCATACATTCCTTTCTGCTGTAAACTTTCAATTGGGATTTTCTTTTAAAGTTAAGAATTGAATTTACTGGGATATTAACTAAGGTTATAAGACTGAATTGTATTGGAGAATGCAGAAAGTGAAAAATCTAATAAAACTGACATTTTTTTTATCAGTGTTTAAAAATTACTAACACAGCTTGTAAAATTCTATGATAAATGTTTTCCTTGGGAGTAACTCATGATCAGGTTACTGTCTGAAAAATCTATACGTTTGCAGCTGTGTTAGAGTTCTTGTGACTTTATTATTTTTTTTAGTGTGCCATTTTCTACCTTTCAGTTTTCTGTCACTTAGCCAGTTACAAGAATTATCACTCTGAAGGCTTTCATTTGAAAGTGAAATAAATGTTATACAGATACTAGCTGGATTTTTTATGCTATTATGATATGAGTAGAAAAAGAGATGAAATTTACTTTGAACTATGTAGGCAGTTTCTTTCTTTGCTTTGTTACATTTTTATTACTTTAGATACTTTTCTCACAGATAGCTGAGCCCATTGTTTGTATCATCAAGCCAAGCATTTTGTTACATCCACAAATCCTTATTATCTCAAGAATCAGCAAAAACTACCTCTTCCTTCTTTTAAAAATTTGATAAAGTGCATTCCTAGGTAAGCAGTCTTGTATGAACTTAAATTACTTAATCTATTTCTGCTTTCTTACTGCTATTAAAAATCTTTGCAATAGTATATTGTCCGAAATCAGTGGGAAATTTCAGTTTAGAACATCCCAGATTTCATCCTTGTATCTGATGCTTTAACAATCAGTTCATGCATGCATACACGCTCATACATTAAAATACTTTTTTGTGATTCTTAGGTTGGGAAAACACAACGAAACTTGATTTAAAACTCAGTTTTGTGCATACAACTTTTATTTGATTATTATTTTATTTACTAACAACATCCACATTTATGTGCTGTGAGCAGCCCATAATCACAGTGATGTATAAAACATAGTCTTCAGGTTTGGTCTATGTTGATGTTTTGAACATTAATGAAATAGTCACTTGATAACAGCAGACTTGACGTGGTTTTAAGTCACTTAAATTTTTACAGTACCTGGTAATAAAACACCATTTAAGATCAGAGCTCTGTTTTGTACAATTGCATCTATACATTGAAAAGATTTAAACTGTTTATAGCCACATGGCAAGCTTTGAAACACTACTTCACCAATTGTAGTTCTCAAACATATGTAAGTATATGAAGAGGGGAAATGGATCTTATCATGCAAATATTCATGCAAATAGACCACTGCATAACAGCCATAATAAAGATATGGAGAATGAGGCTCAGATTAGCTAACAGCTCAGATTAATTAACAGGTCTGTTGTCCATATTTGGACAAAATTAAGTACTGTAGAAATTTGAGGACCAGAAACACTGCGTGCAAAGCATATCAGAAAGAATATACTTAAAATACAATAGGAAATAATTCTGCAGGCTTGCTTATAAAAAGTAAAAAATGAACCTGCTTTATTTCTTCCATAGACTAATTATGGTCATCATGTTTCTGAAATTCCAGTCTACAAAGTACTCAACAATATATAATACATTAAAGAAGTCAGAGCAGCATGCATTTTCCATATATCTACATGATTTTATATAATTATTTCAAAATTTGAATGATAGAAGTAATTTATTAATTCCAACCTTGTGAAAAATTTTAATCAGGAGAGACCCATAATTATGAGATGGAAAATCAGAGAGTAAATTATCACTATAAAGAATGTTTTTGTGTGTGAAATAAGCAAAGATGCATACTGTTTATGAAATAGTAGTTTATTCCCAAGAAAAAAGATACTTCAGTGGATTTCTTTTTAAAGTTTTCATACAAATGAGAAATGTGTGTCCACTGAAGTACCCGTTTTGGTGTTTTATGGTACAGAATGAGTAAGAATGTGATTTAATAAGGGTTTTTTGGGGGGTGGGTGGTTTGTTTGTGTTTTTTTTTCTTTTCCCAACAGCTCTAACGATTTTCAAGTTTAAAGACTACAGAGAATGGAGAAATAGAGGTTACATTAGATATTCCAAAGGTTCATACCACTGTGTCATTTCATGACTTAAAAAATAGAAGTCCTATTTCTATACATCTTCAAATGCCCAATTTTGTCTGTATTCACAGGTGGTATGGGATTGCATTTACTGTTGTCATTTTTGAGTACCACACAAATGCTATGGAGAAAGCTGTAAAAATAACCTAGCTACACTAAATTATTCTGCTTTCAAGTCTGATTTTTTTAAATTACTCTAGAAAATTTACGTACCGTTTTGAGAAATGACCTAAGTGTGCAGCTCCTTTTCTTTGTCAGCAGTCCCAGCCTGACCTAATTTGTTACCTTTGGCTGGAACACATATTTATTTGTGTGCTTTATGCAATTGTTATATGGTACTGGATAGATCTTCCTCTGATGAACCTACACCTGAAAGCAGTGGCCTGAGGGAATAGATTCATGAATCTTATTAATTTTAATTAGATTTTTAAAGTAAGGACATAAACAATACATAAACATTTTCTTTTTTCTTTTTACCTTTTAAGTGACTTGGAAGGAAAAGGTTAATATAAAGCCTATAATACATTGGTTCGTTGGCTTTATCAAGGCACTTTACCCAGAAACCCCTTTTCTTTGGGTTACAGAGTGTGAAAACTCAAGCTTATTGAACAGAGAACATCTCTGTTAAGGAATGTTATCATTAAGCCAGGAAGGTCTTTTTCCACTTGACCCAACTAACAACTCATCATTAGGCTAATAGAGATATCAATGAATATCAAGATTCTACAGATTTCAAGATAGGTACATTTTCAACAAGAAATTTTGGATAGCTATGTAGCTTTCCTGTTGAGGACTAAGTATAAAACTAAGCCTAACATAATTAAAATAAAAATCTGTGTATGCAAAAACCCTTTAAAAAATGTTTTCTAGAAATCTGCTTGTTATTTCAGAACTTCCTTCCTTTGCCACTATAAAGCTCTGAGCATTTACCCAATGAGACTTCCATCTTACCTTGAGTAGGTGGGGGGTGGGGAGGAAAAAAAAAAAAGTATACCTCTTGAGACAGCGTTTCTCTTCTTACGCTACTGACTCTGTTTAAGTCAGTGGTGTGAAGCAAGATGCTTGAGAGCAGGATGCAGCCCAGCTCTTTCAGGAGAAGCACTAGGAGCTATGTGGATAATTATGGAGGGACTTTCTGCCCTGCTGTGGGGTGGGAACATGGGCAACACCTTCAAATCTGACTCTCTGAAGTAGAATCGAGCAATTAAAACCAGATTGAAACAGGGATTTGGTACTGCTTAGGCAGCTTAGTGAGGATTTGAACTGCTTCACCAAACTGAGGTGAGGTGGGAAATTTCTGCAGTTAACCAGATGAAGTGGAGCTGTGAGCATTCCCCCCACCCCGCCCTGTGTAATAGTAGTGGTAATAGTTCATATTCATTACCTTTTTCTCAGCTGGTCCTTGCTAAGATGTTTACAGATCCCTCTGTAGCAGGACGTTGGGTTTTAAAAACATAGAACAGTTCTCTCAAATGTCATATTACCTAGTACTCTGAAAATTACTACCGTCAGTAAAATCTATCTGACACTGTTAAGTCTTTGGTATCTGTTTAATATGAAAGCAAAATACGGTAAAGAAAAATGTTTGAATGATTTCTTGTAGAAAACATTTTTTTATAACTTATATATGTCCTGAATATTTTAAATTGTTTCATAGTCTTAAAATCAACTTTAATATTACTCAGTCATATGCTTTCATAACCTGATGATTAGACCTTCTGCAGTAGTTAAATACTGCTAGGCCCAACTCTGGGAAGGGGGGGCACATAGTCCTGGAATTAAACACACATCAGATATGTTCTTTTGTTGACCTCTAAACCTCTGAACTTGCACTGTTTGAAAAGCAAAGCATAACTGCATCTGAATTTGATGGTTTTAAAAAGTAGTCAGGAATCCTGCATATAGTGTGACATGACCTAACACGACTGTTTTGTAATTTTAGTCTTACTTTACTACACTGAAGTTGTGGCCAGAGCCTGGTTCTGCTGTGCAGACAGAACAAGCTGTCATCTGAAGCTGTAGTGATTTAGGGGCAACAAAATTTTTTAGTCTATATCTTTACCTGGGAATGATGGGGATTTCTTTGTGGCTGTGACTGAGAAAGCCCTGTAACTTTAATGCTGATCTATTTTAGTCCTCCTGATTTTTGTTTGTATTTCTTCTTGGTGTGAAAACCATCTCCAGCAGAGGCTGCCTTTCTATTGGGTGCATGGATAAGTCATTATTTTTCTGGATGTTGTTAAGGCCTCTTCCTTTCATTGTCTGTACTCTGCACCTTCTCAGAAGAGTCACCAGAATTGCTTTCATCATTACCATGGCAATAAACTTTCCTACGCAGCCCCGAGGGCCAAATCCAAATGGTTGGAAGTAGCGTGAAGGAACCTGCACAGAATAACATGAGGAATAAACTTTAAGACAAATTTTTCTTCATAAAAGTAGCCAAAATTATGATGGAAATTGGTGGTAAATATATTCTGTAAAACTCGTAGAAAGAATCTCTTGGGACCACTTACTTTCCTTTAAACTGAACAGCCCTCCCAACCAAGTTGGGCCAAAATACAGAGACACCTATAGAAGGTATGCCAGTCTGTTCATCCTGTGAACTACAGGGATTTTATCACAAGCTGTGCAATCGAGCGAAGCTTTCGCTCATCAATATACGTTAAAGTTCGTTAAAAACTTCTTCAAAAAATGTTCATTACAAAGCTCATAAATGTCTGAGATAGAGACCGATGCCTTGTCTAAAGATAATCATAAAGCCATTCACCTACTACAATTGTCATTAAAAAGCTAGTGTTCCTGAGAATTAATTTGTCATAAAATGTAGTGTTGAAAATTTTATTTGATATCTAATAGAGAGATAACACTTATAAAATTATTATCTCCTGTCCTATCAACTAGAATGTCAAATGCAGGATTCCCAGAACAATTGAAGAATGCACAGCCAGATTCTGCAACTTTTATTGACACTGAATAGATGAGTTATCCAAAACAGTCCCAACAGTATGAATAGTACTGCTACTGAGGTACAAAGGTAATTGTTATGAGTAAGAGAAAGCAAGTCTGGCTATAAATAAATTGGTTTTTTTCATCTGTGTAGCGCTTTTTTTTTTTTTTTTAAAAAAAAAGTAAGATATTAGCTGTGTTCTGACTTCCTATTTAACCCAAGAATAGAGTAGAAAGGCTGCTTTATATTAAATTATCTAGAAAGAAGTGTCCTTTTTTCTTATTTTCAGATTGAGAAAAATGTTTTCTATTTAAATTTTTTCAAACTAACTGAGCTGTACTTTTTGAAAACTGATAGGTAAATACAAATGTTATAATACAGAGCAAGTACAGCAGCTGGCAGTACAGCACAATGGCAATTGTACAGCCTGGGCAAATGGAAAAATGTTTAGATTCTAACAATGCCATCTTATCCTAAATAATGGTGTGGATTGCTATTCACTTACGAGAACTGTGTGAAAATTGTGCCTGCTGGAATAATTATATGGCAAACAGAATGCATCAAGTCAGATGGAAAATGATGGTTAAATATTTGGTCAAGGGGAAATATTTTTAGTAGCAAAGTGTATTTATAAGCAAGAAATCCATTTTGATAGAAGTACTTAGAATGAAAATAATGGGTGGCAAAATGGAAACTATTCACAGTGAGTAGTTATTTCAATAAATTTAATCATTTACTCTCTTTAATTTTCTACAATAACTTTTTTCTTGATCTGTTCTTTTTAATACTTTGTGCAGAGATTGCTATGGGTAATCAACCAGCAGTTTAGAAACGTTAACCAGGTTGTTTAGTGCTAACTTGTGTGCATGGCATACATGCTACTCCTGGAGTTTTGATAGGAAAAATGTAAAACTTGGTTTCTGGCTTGACCATTCATATCTTTTGTTTCTTTATTTTCTTAATTATTTCTTCACGTGTTTTTTCTACTAATCCCATCTTTGGTGTATCAAAGTGGGTCATCTATTTATTTCTTAAAACTGAAATTACTGTCTGTGGACACTTAAGTGGGCAGCTGCTAACATCTCAAAAGAAAAGTTTTGCCAGGTAATAGAATTCTTTCCTAACTTTTTTAGTTAGACAAAATGGCATGACAGCTGTAGAAAACATTAACCCTTTAGCTTCAACCGTGCTCAAGCTTAATATTTGACAAGCCACTAGAAAATGTAAGAGAAATCTTGTATGCCAGGAAAATGTGTGCATCTATGATAGTAGCATTCTGCAGTTGAGATTCCTTTCATAGAGCTAAGTTGATTATGCCCTCCGCTCTTGCTTGGCTATTTGTTCCAGTGATCTTTCTAATTCCCTCATAGGGAGTGCTAGTCAAACCTTAGTATTTCATATTTTGTGCTCTCTCTCACATGGGTAGCAGTATCTTCTGCTTTCATCTGTGATGGTTAACACTCAAAAACAAGGAGTCAAACGTGCCATAGAATCAGTCTATTATCTTTTAATACCGTTTTAATATTTCCAGATGGTTATTGCTGAACAAATACAGTTTTGGAAAAACAATTTGTTTACTCAGTAATCAAAAGAGCAGAGGTCTAAATGAAAATAAATAATCTGAAGGATGATTTTCAATAGTAGGAGATTACAAGTAGGAAAAAAGTTCACATACTACTTTTGATAGTAATGTAGACTAAAAATTCTAGTTCTTTTGGGAGTTAGAATATAACTTAAATGGAAATGTTGTGCTGAACTGGGCCTGAATTACTCAACATCTGCAGGACTGAGTTGGTTAAAATTTAGTCTATAAAAGATGTTTATTTTTATTTAGGAATTAAAAAAAAAAAAGAGAATAAAACAAGTGGTAGATTCTCAGTCTCTCGGGAGTAACTATACTGCTTCACCTGTCCAGAGGATCCTCAGCTCTGTGTTGTACTGCTTGCATGGCTCTAGCTCCCTAAAGCCTTTGTTTTGTCCAATGTCAGAGGATGTAATGGGAACTATGTGTGTCTTTGACAAATTTAATCAGAAATTTTATAATCAAAATTAAGATGGCTGGGAAAACTTTGTTTTCAATATCATAATTATTTTTCAAGAGGCACTTTGATAGGAAAATATCTGCCTAGCTTTAATAATAATAACAGTAATTATCAGGATGTATAGCTAACTAGGCACTTAAACAAAGGAAAAACAGTGTTATGGTCACAAAGTTCTTGATCAAAACAAGAGGAAGATACATTGTCAATAAATAATACCTGATTTTTTGTAAGAAGTAAGATAGAAAACTTACATTTTTCTCAAAATTTTCAAGAGAAAACTCATTTGGCTTTGGGAAGAATTCGAGCTTATGCATACGTCCGATATTGAGAATGATGTTTGTCCCCTTTTTCACAGGATAGCCATCAATTACATCATCTTGTAAAGCTTTTCGCATGATCAAGTCCACAACTGGCTGGTATCTCATGCTCTCATAAATAAAATTCTCCACAATTTTTAAGTTTGGCATGTCATCACTCTGTATGTCTCTGTCACCTTGAGGAATAAAACAGATGGTGAAGTTGGTTATGAATTAATTGGCTTCATTGGACAAATACCAAAAAGTTTTTGAAAGGTTCTCACTTCCTGAAATGGTAGGAAGGATCCAAGAGCTTCTAAGCAGTTTTATGTAGCCTTAGATATTTCAGAAATCTGCTATGTTGTTCATCAGCATAAACTCTAGTTTATTAATTCATGGTCTTATCTTCTTCTTAATACGTTGTGAATCTTTGTTCTGCTTTCTTGTCAATGACAAAACTCTGAAAGTCCTTTCCTGACTTTAGTGGGACTGAGACCAACAAGATACAGCAAATAAATCTTTGGAGAGCTGACAGCAAACAGAATCTGGGAATAGTCTGCAGATGGGAGATAACTTTGTAGGGACCTAAAATTTTCACCGTGTGATTGGCTTTGGCTGGATGTACAGCTAGGTCCTACTGTGGCCTGACTATTTCAGTTACCATGAGTAATTTCCTCCCAGCTTGATTCCAGCAGCAGTAGTATCAGTGCCACAACATCCTGCCAGTGGGAGCCTTACTTCAACTTTCAAGCCACAAGCAGTTCAAGAACTACAGGCTGACCACTGCAGTGGTAGGTTTTCAAGATAAAAGGCGGCTTTGCTACCCCACTTTGTCGTTTACTTAAGAAAAGGCAACGACATTCTACTGCCTTAGAAATCAAGGCTATCAGAAAGAAATAAGCAAGATGAATAAGTGAATACTCAAATCTCATGAGGACAATAACATAATGTTTATTAAAAGTACCTTGGAAAAAAGAGTGACTTGTTACACGCTTTTCAGTGTTTAACTGACCAGAAATAAATGTTGAAAGAAGGGATGAAATTAGTTTCTGTATTAGTTCAGCATCAGGCTTTGAATGAAGTCTAGAGAAAGGGAAGAATACAAATTTGGAATATCTTGATTGTGTTTTGTTTTGAAGTAGTTAGTAATTAGTGCTTAAAGAGGAGACCAGTTTGATACCAAAATGGATGACAGCAGAATATAATTTTAATTTTCTCTAATCTTCCCCTCCTGCAGTCATAGTGAAACTTAGACAGGTTCTATATATACACAGAGAAATATTGGTGATTAGAAGTATTTGAAATGAGTGTCCCCTTTAGCTATTTCGAGGTAAGTGGAAAATAACTTCAATGGAACTTATAAGGTGAGTGCTGATTTGCACTGCTGTTGCTGAGAAGTTAGTATAGCACATTCTTTCTAATAGATTTTCAATTCTGATGATTCCTATTTGAATTTATCTTACAAATTGCTCACCTTCTTTCATTTGATCTTGAATAAAATCTTTTACACATTACGGTAGTTCAAATATTTTACAGCAAATGCTTCTGTTGGAAGAAAACACTTAGAATTTTTAGCCTTTGAAGAATCAAAATTAGATCACTGCTGAAGCAAAATTATATTCCCACATCACTGACTTTGTCGCTCCTGCTTACCCATGACAGTTTCGATTTCTTTCATCATCTCCTCTTCCACTGTGGGGTGCTCTGCAATCAGTATTAACATGAAGAAGAGAGTCACAGACAGAGTATCAGGAGCAGCAATCATCATCTCCAGCACACACTGGTTCACATTCTCGGCGGTCAGATCCCCTCTGTTCTGAAAAAATCAGAAATTTGGGGGGAAATGTTGATTGCTGACCTCTGATGCCAACAAAGGTGCTATAGCAGTAGAATGGGAAGGGCCTAGAATTCCTGCTTTAAACAAAATTAAAAATCTTGACAATCTTTCTATCACATGCTAAATAGCATTTATTTTTTGTCTTTCAGAGAAAAACAGAAAACTCGTGTTTTGGTTAGGTGTGTACTATCTTACAGAAAAGCAAGAGTTTCTTCTTAGCTCAGATTCTTGTTGATTTATTGCCTTTTCTCACAGAGTTTGTGAGCTGTCAGAGATTATACAAGGCAGGATTTACATAGCATTCGAAGCCTTTGCAAACAGAATCAATATAAAATACAAGGGTTAGTGAAAGACTGGAGGACATTCAGGGATAGAGGCAAGAATTTTAAGGATGTTGTTTAAGCTATGGAAAAAATCAGACAAGCGCCTGTTCTTGAAAATGCAACTATTCAGTGTTTGAATTGCTGTTAGGGGCTCCCCCTCCCCAGAACTGTCCTGGTTTGAGGCCTAAACCACAAGAACCAATTAATTTGTATCCCTTTATGATGACATGACTTCCAGATAGATACGTGAAATTTAAATTGCAAAGCCTGTGTTGTTGGTGACAGGAGAATGTCAGAAATGTCAAAATTAGCTGTATTTTGAGTATATTGCCAATACCTGTGCAAAAATTAACTGGGATGCAAAATCCATGTGTTCATCCAACTTTTCAACAGTGGAAAGCTTTTGTCGTTTCTGTTCTATTAAGATTTCCATTGCTCCTTTCAGATCCTTGCTGAAAACAGAAAATCCAACATATTGATAAACATCTACAGACTTTTAGTATACACTAGCATATGATTAGAAACATAGAGATTGTACCAATAAAAACATCTAGAAATGGCAGAAATTAAGTATTCTGAAGAGTGGTTATATGGTTCTCTGCAAAAGCAGTAATACTAAGGGAAGGTGTATTTTCTTATTATTTCTTATTAAATAATTGCTTGTCAGTTTGAACTGACATCTTATTTTTTTTTTATAGGATAGAGTGAAAAGGATGAAAATATGTTTGTATATCCTATTAATTAATAGAGGTTTTAAAGATTTATTAACGTTTCCAAAGAATTTGTTTATTTCCTTCTATTTTATACTGTATTTTATCAGTGAATAAAATGAACTTGGAGAACGTGAGGGATAATTGTTTGAAAATGTAGATAAATGTTACAAAAATTGTACTATCTTGATGGTAAAATTGATACAAATTTTTCATATTTAAATAGTCAGTAATGCTGTGTTGACAGTTTGTGTTTTAGTGGTGGAAAGAAGTAAAGTCCAACAGTGTTTCTAATTTTATTTGGGCTTTTCAATTATCTATATATTTGAAGATAATTATTTTTAAAAAGTATTTTGAAAAGCTTTTGAATTAAATTCTCAGGCTTTTTGTTTGTGTTTGTTATTGTTGGGATAGAAAATTTGACTGGGTTTGTAGGGGTAAATGCATTTAAAATGTGAAACCTGGTAAAGTTATTATTTATAGTTTTGGGGTTTTTTTATGTATTGGAAATAAAAAATGGTTCTTTTTGCCAGCTTTATCAGAGGAATATCAGAAGTCATCATATCCTGTGGTGGTTCTTTGCATTGTTTTAAGTCCAGCGTTCTTTTTTTTTTTTTTTTTTTTTTTTTTTTTGCATTAGAAATTTATGCATAAGTCTATTTTAACGGGATTGCTTTTGAAACATCAGTATTTGCCTGCAGGGGCTTTCTAGTAATTACTGGGCCACCACAGTTATCTATTATTAGAATAAAGGATAAAGCACTGATCAGTGCCATAATAAAACTGGCAAGCAAATGTTAAGAGAAGGTAAATCTTGTGTCTAGTTTGTAAGAGTTATCAATTACTTTCGATGAACCTTCATCTTTCCCTTAAAGCCTTTATGTTATATAGCACCATCAAAACAATTTATTACACATGCTTCATAAGTAGTAGTTTCTCCTATTTTTTGGATTTTGGAATCCAAGTCCAAAATGAATAAACTTATTGCCTGTTTTTTTTATAGCCAGTCCTCTTTCGGCAGAAGACAACAAATGAGATCGTAAAAAAAAGAAGAGGTATTTTTTATTTTTGCAAAGAGGAAGGTGGCAAAATGGAAAAAAAACGTTGAAATTTATTATCGTGCTGAGCACCAAGTTTTAACTCAAAAATGAGTTGTTGACTCAAAAATGCACGTTGCGGGCACCAATAAATAAAATTATGCAAGGGGTTTCCTCTTCTGGGACAGTGCCATGAATGTAGACAAGTTTTCCTGTTTTGATGAATTGTAGCCTACTATTTGACTGCCCTTGACTAGAAAGTCATTGACAAATGTAAGTTCACCCCATGTGATGGCTTTTCCTTGTCCGAACTGAACCAGTGATTTCAGTTTGGCTTCACGTTTGAGCTGGCATTAACTACTATTTTGGTGAGTAAACTAGGACTGAGTAGACGTGGGCTTTAAATCATCCCCTGAGATCAGGCATTTGCAGCATCAGTGGCAAATCTTGTTCTGTTACTATCTTGGGTCTGCAGCCAGGGGACTTAAGGCAGCCACCTTTGCAGGTTTCACAATTTATTTTCTAAAAGGCAGAGGAAAATATCAAGGAAGATCTTCTTAGAAAGAATCTTATGCAAATGATTTGTAACACTGTTGATACTTACACTGCCTCTTCATATTTCTTGCACAGCCAAGAAATCTTAAAAAAGATGTCGGGCTTTAATAAAAGTGCTTGCCAAGCATCAAAGTAGTTCTGAATCTTAAGTACAATGGCACTTTCTGAAAATAAAAATGTTAACAAAAAGCAGTATAAAATATTAACCTCAATAGTCAAATAACACAAATGCTTCAGAAAAATTAATAGTAAGCCGCTGTTCCCTACTCTGACTATGTTCATGGGAATTTGATAAACAACTGGTTTTAATATGTGGTAGATAGCATTAGGAAACATTTGTAGCACACTGTAGAAAAGGTATAGATCTTTGTAAAAACTCTTGGTAGCTAGCAAAAAGGAGAGTGGTGTGTCAACCAGAGCCAAATAGTCTCCCACGGGAGAGCAGAAGCAGAACTTTTGCATCAGATTGAAATGGGATAATTTATACATCAGGATAATGTTATTTTTGTCATATGTTTTTGAGGATAAAGAAGTCACAGAAGACAGAAATTATCAGGTGAACTTTTCAAGGCAATCATTTAGTTTGGTGGCACGATTTCTGATTCTTACATGCATATAATATTGAGATTGTACCAACTCGGTGCATAAGTCTCTAAATGGTACTATTTATTAAAGTGAATGTGGCACGCTAGATGTATATTTTTGGGCATATAAAATTCTCTTTAGAACTAAAATCACTCATAAATCCATTTCAATTAATTATAGGGTGATGTAAGAGTCTGTTCTTGCTCTGTTTTCTGAAACAAAACTGCTGAATGATTTCAATGAGTTTTCCTGGGACACGCACTTAAGATCCATCATAAAGTATAAAAATAAAGCTGTTAGTACCATCCAAAGGGATCCCCAGAAAAAGCTTGTTAGATGTGTCAAGCATGATCCGTCTCATGAGATTCAACACGTTGATGTTTCCTACTTCAGTGGTTACTTCCTCTAGTTTGTCCAGGTGATCAATTGTTGATTCAACACAAATTGCTATCATACGCACAAGACCAGGCCCAGATAGAGCTGAAATATACGTGCAAAATGATGAAAAGATTGGTTAACTTTCATACTTATTTATAACTTACTGATTGGTGATAATGGTGTCAATAACATGTAAAACATTATCATGTGAGTGAGTGGTATAAAATAATTCTGAAACTTAATGATTTTTCATCTCTTGAAAGAAAAATGTAAGTATTTTGAGTTAAGCTGGCAATGAACTCAAAGCCCAAACTTTCCTTGCATTCAGACACACTTTTTATGCGAGGTTCATACCATGTCAAGGAAAGATATTTGGCACCATTTGTGCTACTTTCTGTGTGGGAGGGTATCCATATCCTCATCTCCATTACAGGCACTGTGGATGTCCTGTCTTATTTCCTTGCAATGACATTGAGCAGGAAAGACAGCTTGGCCATTGGTGGGATATTTCTGAAAGCTATTTCTGAAAACGTAACTCCTGGGCGCTCTAAAACAGCATGGTAGCTTTTGCGGTGAGCTAATCACAACATGCAATGTTGCTCTGGACATACTGAAGCCTAGCCTGGCAGCGTGCTGTGTGTTAGCCTGCCTTAGTCTGCCCGCCTATGAACAGTGGAGATAGTGTCATGACAGATTTATTGCAGTTTAAGAATTCAAAAGTAAATAAAAGCAGTGGTTTTTCTGTTGGTATGCAATTCAGTGGGATTTTGATAAGCTACAGCTGGAATGGATTCAGGTATTTCTTGAATGCCTTTGGAAATCTTGCCCTAAGGTACTTTAAATTACTTTTCCATACAAGAATTGCTGTAATTGCCTCAAAGACATTATTTTATCACATATGCATTGAGAGGAATTGTATGTTTGTAATTGAGAAGAGAGGAGGTCTGTTTCGTAAATAGAGAGAACTGGTAGTTCTAAGAATAAGTAGAAAAACAATTTATTTTTTTTTCCTGCCATCTTCAACCAGTACAAAGTTGCTGATATTTCTCAATAGCAAAATCATGTAGAAAAGGCCCAAGTGTCATATATTAGGAGCACAGATATATCAACAAAACAGTATAGAAAATTTAAACCAACAAATGATTGATTTCTTTTATGTGCTGCTTTACTTTCATTTTCAGGCTCTGGAATCACTGTCATAAACTACTGCAGTCTCAGCTGGTGAGAATCTTTTCTGAACTATGGAGCTTGCAGAGCAACAAGTGTGGCAGTTTTGTTAGGAAAGCTGTAACATCATCAGAAGTAGCTAATTCTAATGATATGCAAATGCTAAAAATTTTCAATTTGTGGAAAGAAGGTGAATCAAAAAATGCATGCTCATAAAATACTAACACTGGAGTTTATGTAATTTCCTATTTGATTTCAACCTAGTGATATTAATTACTTCAATCTTTTTCTCTGTTACTATATTGATTCCTAGCATATTAAAGGGATTAATAAATAGTTCTGCTGTGCAGATCTTCTAAATTAATTTTGAAACTAGAGCTTTTTTTTTTTCAATTAGAACAACAATCAGAAAGAACACGTGCAAGAAAATATTTCTATGGGATATATAAAGAGAACTGATTTCTGTAATTTAGGTATGCAAAGGACAAACAGCATTTCAGAAAAGAGAGACTCTATGATACAGTGCTACAGTGTAAGGTACACCAATTTACCTTTGGTGAAAAAGGGTCGAATTTCTTTCCAGTGTGCTGGGTTGTTATTAAATATGATCCCATTTTCATACATGCCAATGCACTGTAATCCAAGCTTGCTCCCAAATCGAGAAACATAATGCCAGTGTTTCATTACATGGAACACACTTGAGGATCTAGGAAAGAAAGAGGGGGAGAAAAAAGCCTAAACCAAAAATACTGTTTCATAGATTGTACACAGAATTTTTCCTCTGACATTTTATAGTTCCTCTGAAGTGCTGACTTGCATTCTCAATTTAGCAGGAAGTACAATACTTGACATTAAATATTGTTCCTTTTACACAATTAAAAAAACTTGATGACAAACACGTTCAGAATGTATATTAGAGCAATGTATTCTGTTCAGATTTAAAACTGTTTTTCAGTTAAAATGCAAATGGTTACCAAAAGATTTTAATCTGAATAGTGTGTATACATAGAAACATGTAGATATCTAAGATACACTTGGGCAATGACCAATGTCAGATATTTCAGAAGATGAGGTGTAAAAATACTTGACAGTTGATAATTTCATCATGATGTGTATTAAATTACAGCTATAGTTTGTAGCTATTTGGTTATTCCCAGGCACATACAGCAAGCATAAATATACACCCATCATTTAAATATGCAGCATCATAATATGATGATATGTGTGGGATAAATATTCCTAAATAGAAATGTTAGGGAAATCCTTGATATGTATAATTCTTTTTACAGTTGACAAGATTTATTCGCACATGCTAGCAAACAGGTTGTGAAACAGCATTATTGCTTTAAGATACAAGTTCCTTTAGAGGGAGCTAGCATTTTAGAAATGCTGACGTGATGAAAATCTGATCAAATGAAAGCCAACAAAAGGAAAGGAAATCAGAGCAGAGATTGAAATGAAACAATACGCTACTTTCTTTACCATGTAGCATACTCTGTGGACCAAATCCCAGACTTCTTACATGAGTTAGTTTATTTTTTCAGTCAGTCAACGTAAGGGACTTTCACTGTTGACTTCAGCAGTGCTGGGTTTTCCCCATAGTTTTGCATGTCCAGAGGTAAAGTTAACAGTGAGATGCTATATGGTACGAATAGACAAACATGGATTAAGGATTGGAGTGAAAACAGGGAGGAGTATGTCTGCAGGTCCAACCTTCCAAGGAACTCGGCATATTCTCTCTTTACTAGACTTCCCAACATCTGCTCTCTTCTCTAATTTCCTTAAAGCTTTTTTGCATGTCAAAGAACTTCATCTGTATTTTCTGAACATGAAAAGATAGTGTTGAATTATGACAGCTGTCCCCAAGAATGGAAAGGTGCAGGAGGCTCATTTTTCTTCTTCCCATTCCACACATTTACGGAGGAGACACATAATGTTTTAAGGAAGGATTTTGACATACGGCCTTGTATAAGCAGATTTTCCTTATGAAACTTTTTAATGAAGGTCCTCTAAAAGACAACATCTGTCGTAACCAAGAGTGCAAGTCCTTCTCTCTGTGCATTAGCATCTCAGTATGATTAGATTTGATGGTAAATATTCAGATGACATTGGTGGAAATAGTATACTTTACCAAATTCAGGTTGTGTTTAGTTTTGCAGTGAATTTATGATCCACTGAAGACTTTTTTTCTACATTATTGGGGATTTTTTAAAAGTTAAATACCAGTTCTCTATGTACTGTCAATGCTTTTAAGCAAAAAATACGTCTGAAGGAAGTTAAGTATTGACTGTAGTCTGATGCAGGTGTGGCATTGTTGATCAGCCCTCCTGATTTTTCTGATGAATTGACAGTACAGAAAATGGAAGACAGCAGTAAGAGTTCATAGCATATTACGTTATGAAAACATTATAGCACATTAGTTGATATTTATAACACCTATGTAGGATAGGAATGTAAACAGTTTTCCTTTCATCATTATCTCTTTTTACAGAGGTAAAACCAGATGGAGATGAAGCTGACTTGCTTCACATGGCTAATCCTTTGATAGTCCTCTGTACTACGGTGCCTTTCAAAAGCCTTTACCTAATGAAAGCTGAGTATGGATTGACTGATATTGCTAATAAAAAGGTTGTGATTTTTTATCGATTACGCATGGTAAACTTTTTTTTTCCATGGCGTAACTCATAAGCATCCAGAAGATGCAATGTAAGAAGAAAGCAACCATCCACTGGAGCTAATAAAAATAATAGACTGTGGTTTAGCATTATGTTTAATACTGTGTATAATCGAAGTCTGTGAGTAATCCCATTAACTGGAGTGGAAATTACTCATAATCCTATAACGCTGCATTTGTTTAATTAACCTGCTGAATTGGAGCCATAATCTTCAAGCGTTACTCCCATTTTAAGGAGAAAATTAAGAACACAGGAAACTAAGATTTGGATTAATTCTACATTGCAGTCAGTCTAGATTCCTGTATAGTATATAATCATAATATTACATGGAATAGTAAAAGACATGGTAAACAGTTTTTAGGATTGAGCCAGAGTGCTTAATCTTCCTTTCCATGAAGAAAATGGGAGAATTCACATAGACTTCAATAGTAGAGTCTTTAAAGAAACAAAAGATTAGAAAAAGGTCTGTGAACAGCAGAAGTAAAAGGTTTTATGTTAGGATAATTTTAGAAAATAATACTTCCAATTCTACTTTAGAAAAAAAGTAGCAAAGAGGTTGTAAAGACATGGAAAAGCTCTTCATATTATTAAGGATAGAAAATAAGGATTTACTTGCTAATTATAAATGTTTCTTCACCGCTGATCCAAACTCTTACAAATTCTCCGTATGTCTTATTGTAGTAGTTGCAGGCATTACCTACTCCCATCCAGAGAAATCTCCCATGTGAAATGAGAGGACCAATTCCCATACAGTATCCTGGCCCTAAGAAATAGGGTAAGAAAAGTTTAGTCTCAGCAGTGCTCACTGACAAGAATACATGTCCGATCATCACCCTTTTCAAAGGAGCTTTTAAACATGACAGTCAAGGTCTGCATTGGGCCGTTCACATATACAATCCCCTTCTGAAGTTCTGTCTTAGAAAAACTTGCATCCACGTTGTTGAAACCTATAGTAGCCTATGTTATTATCATCCTATATTAATATCTATGGAAGCTTATAGTTCATTCAATGTACATACAACAAATGACATTCATTACTTCTTTGTACAACTTCAAATTGCCACTTTGAGACTGCTTACATTTGGAGGGACAATGGCTAGATATCAGAAAGAAGAAATGATCTAGACAAACTGCATAAGGTTTATTAATTTGTGATTTTTAACAAATCCTTTGAGTGATTTTTGTGTTGAAGTGTCATAGTGACACCTACAAAATTCAATATCCTTTTGATGTAATTAAATGTAATAATTATATTTCTCTCAGTCATTATTAGAGTGAGAAAGCAGATATTTAAACGAAAAAGTATTTTACTGCTGTAAACTTCTGACAACATGCTTAAGTAGCAGCTAAGAATGGATTAATAAGCCTTTAGTCAACAAAGTTCTCAAATAAATCCTTCCACTGTAAATCAGCACCAAATTTCCCTCTTGCAACAAACAGCAGAAAGTGGAGACAGCAGGAGAGAATTTGCCTGTAATTACTTTTAAAAGAAAGTTTCCTTCTTCAGGGAAAGCTTAATTTGCCTCTTTTGTCTGTAAAACATAAATCTAACTCTATAAACCAAAAGAAAATAAGTATTTACAAAACTTTTGCATACTGTTTAAAAATGTAGAAGTTGCTTACAGCTCCACTGTGTACTGATATGAATTGCAAGAACCCAGATTATTTAAATATCTGTAAACTTAAACCATATTAATTTAGTTCTATCTTCGTGTTAATCCAATCAAGCGTTCAAACAGAATGTATAACCTTCTGTGAATACTTTCCCCTGTTCTCTAACTTTCAAAGAGTTTTAGCATATTTGAAGGATGTTTGGCAAGATTCTTTTTCTCAGGATTTCATTCAGATGCTACTGCATTGGTTCAGGATTATTCCTGTCAAATACCTTTGTGAGGTGCGTACACTGTTCTCATTCATGCAGTAGGTCATTGCATTGCAGCTAATGAAAAATAGGCTGAATCTGTAATGTCTACCATAAGCCCCCAAAATCTTACAGAAGGGGCCCTCTGAAAGGGAACCCATTTGATGTTGTTCTGTTCTGGAGGGTCTTCAGTGACAAACATGGAGAGAAAAGTTGATAATCTACTAAGATCTGAAGAATTTCCTAGATAATGGTTTATTTCTCGTAAAGACCATTCGGAAAGCTTTAAACTTAAAACATGCAAAAAGTAGAAGTTTAAAACTCACATTAAAATACGAACAATCTAGAGTTTGTAAAATGGTGGTATGTCTTTCTAGCATATACATAATAAAGCAGAAAACTACATGTCATATATTTATATAGCCAACCCAGGTTTGTTATGGAAGTTCTGAGGTTAAATAGACCCTGATTTCTTTTATTAGGTATTTTTAAAAGTTGTCTTACTTACACTGACTCAGTAAAGCAGTAAATTTTCTTGGCATACAATAATTATTCAGCATTACTTTCCTGCTTAAATTTGAGAAACAAATAAACAAAAAAATACTCTGACAGCTTTTAGGTGATACCACAGCTAACAAAGTTAATTTACCTGGTATTGATGAAGTTTCTTCATGATTCCATATTAGGAACAGAAAGCACATGAGAATGAGGATGGGCACTGTGGCCACTGGCATCGTCTCTGATACTAGGCTGGTGATGTTGTAGTGCAGTGGATTCAGAGTTTCCAGTATCATCTTTTCCAAGAGATACTGCTTTGCTTTAGGGAGAGAGAAAGGGGAAAGAAGCAGAGTTTTTCAAAGATATATTCAGCTTTAGTCAGTATCTCTCAATCCCTTTGTAGGTCTCGTTAATGAGCCTATCAGCTCTTGAGGTAGCTTTATTTTATAATGAGAGTGACTGCCTGGACTGCTTGCCAGGACAAGCTACATCATAAGTCCAAACAGACGTGCAGCAAGACACTTTTTGTTTGGAAATAACAAAGCTCTTCTGACCTTGATATTGAAGCATAGTTTTGGATGCTTTGGCTGACAGACCTCTTATCTCTGATATTGACTTGTCTGGCCAGTACTGAGGTTTACTCCTTGCAAATTTCTAACCAAAACACAAGAAATTAAACTTTCAGCATATGTAGAAGCACTGAATGGGTTCACTCACAAGTTTTATCTCTTGTTGCTTAGCCCTTTTCCTTCCTGCATGCCTGGAGTGCCGGAGTCCTTGAATTTCCAGAATAACTAAGTTAGTTTTTCATTATGCAGATAGAGTGTACCCCAGGTTTTTGTTTGAAACAATGTATTATGTTTGATTTTTATTGTCAACCTTTGAGCGTAGTATGATGCGTTGCATTTCTTTATGGATCTTCTGCTAAATACTTTGAAAAATATAGTGTATGCCGTAACAAACAGGATCATGGGTTGTCTGGTACCACATTTTTCCTCAAGCAGTAACCAGCACTTGGCACAAGAAAGAGCAAAAACCAAGCAAATGGACAGATCTGCTATGCATATGGGGAGTGGAAGGATTCCTTCAAAGTTGTTTTGCATGCTTTTGACTTTAAGACATAAAATGTGAGAGGTGATTGTGCCTGAGAAGGAAGATGTTATTCTATAAATGAGAACTCACATAACCACAGAAGATACTGCTTGCATCTACACAGTAGTTTATTAATAAACACCTTCTTAATCCTGCTCTGACAATAGTTAAGAATATATTTGTTGTGTTCCTTCCTGTGACAATGTTTCAAAATTGAAGGTTGTATTTACTGAATAGGAAGCTTTTTGTTACTGTTTACTTTCAGCAAGTGCTTTCTTGTTGATCTAGTACTTTGGTCTCACCTTGCAGAAGAAAGTACAGCTTAGTTTGTAGTAACTGTCAGTGCTATAGTTATGTTAAGCTAAGCCAATAATGTGATAGATGCTTTCTAGATAGTAAGAAGATTGGTATTTATGGTCAAAATAGAAAATGTCCAGAGTATAGACAAAACCCTGGGGAAGGGAGCAAGCAGTGGCTCACAACCTTGCAGGTGCATGCCAAGCTCTAGTATTTTGGACAATTGCTATGCAAGGCTTCTGGCATTGCTGTGATCCAAAATAACCATGACACAGTGTGCCAGGTGAGCTGTTGGAAACGTGCATGCTCTTCCAATAGCTAGCAGTACACCTCTTATGTACATGTAACATCTTGTACTGTTCAACTGTTGTACTGTCTTGCGTGTTGTGAAAAATGTTTTTGTAATCACAAGTATTTTTTTATCATGTAATGGTATTTATTGGTTTCACTCTTGCACACTAATCATGTTTGTTTAGTACCAGTAAAAATGCTAATTTAAACTTCCTTGAGTACTATTCATTACCACAATAAAAGCATGCCTGTGTATATGTAAATACTTTATTAGTTTCAGTCTCTTTCACTATATGAGCTTACAGCATTATAGGAGGAAATAACTATGCTTAGGGTGGATAGTTTCACTTTTTTGTTGCTTTCTCTCTGGATCTGGATGAACTTCATCTTTGTACTCCATTGCCACAGATAGACTCTGATGTTCGTTGTTTTTTGTTGTTTATCTCCAAGATAGTCTGTTGTGTTTGTACAGTAGTTTCTCTGCCTCATATTCCCTATGAAAAGAAGTATGTAGGTGGTTATGCATTTGGGTGGTATGAAGTAAACACATCTATATGTACAAACCTGTATCTATGAAATTAAATCTGAAGGTTAAGACCTGCTAGAGTTCAAGGTGCTGATATGTTTGCATGATGTACTTATTCCCAGCTAAAGCTTATCTTTGTATTGACAGAGAAACAGAGGCAGGTTTCTGTCTTTTAAAAATGTATAGATTGGAATGGATTGGATTTTAGGTTCTAGATTACCCCAACTTCATGATTTTATAATTTTTTTGTAAAAGAATAAAATCTTTTTCTACTGTGATATGATACCCAATACATCAGTGTGCACGTTGCTGTTAGATTTATAATTTTTATAAAGCATGAATCATGCTTTTGTGTAGATAAAAGGTATTAAAGGCACTGTGTTAAATTTGAATCATTTTTATACTCTTGAACTGATCTGAAGCAGTCTTATTTTTAACCAAAGTGGATCCTCAAGCTCTTAAACCAAACAATTGGCATTTCTCATATTGAGAAGTTCTTTCCCTCATTTACTGAGTATGACCCAAATAGACTTCCAAGGTTTTAATTTCCAATGCTTTTTTTATTGCAAAGCCAACTGCACCATGAAAAATTAATCTTAAAAATATTTCAGCTGAACTGCTCATCCTGCTTGTACCCATAGGGTTTTTTTAAGAATTGTCCGTGAGGTAAATCGCTCCTAATAAAAACTTAGTCAAGGAAATTTTAATAGTAAGTAGTCACTGAATAGACTGAAGAAGTTTAGAAATGAAACAAAGCTAGAGCGCCCATTGTGCACGAAATAAGCTTTCACTATTCTTGCTCATTTTGTCTTGAAATCTTCTATAGGTAATTTTCCTTTCCTTGCAGCTGATTGAGGTATGTGTCTGATCAAAAGGATGTGTTAGTTCTGATTGTTACATATATGGCAGAGGGGGGATGGGAATGGCGGAAAAAAGCTTTTAAAATCAAACAGTGGGAGGAAAGAGACTTATTATAAGGAAATGCTTTTGTGACAAAAGAGATGGATGTGCACAGGCTGCCTGACCCGACAATAATTGTGGATCTTAACAGCTGGGAAAGCATTTGCCAGCAGAGGGCCCTTTAGATTACTGATCTTTAGGTCTTGACAATACAGCACTGTGAGAAAATTCTATGTTCTGTTAAGTGTTTTCTTGCGAAAGGTGATATGATGAATGATGGCAGGATCCACAGTAAAGAAAAAAGTCGATCTATCTAAAGGATAACTGTATTGACCCCTTTTGTTCCAGTTAAATCTTTGTACTTAATGACTGTGTCAGTAAAAGAGCAAATTATCTATCATATTATAGGATTGGAGCTGAACATTTCTGATAATTTTGAGAAGGAGATCATAAAACTTCCTGAAAACTCTTGAAGAACCATTCTTGAGTGCTGGAATTCTTTCCTCTATACTGGTTCATCTGTCAGGAGAGACATGAGGAAAAAAAATCTGCTACTTGTTATAAATCCCCCTAAATCCCCAATATTGGCAGCATCTGAAGCAACTGACCTAGGCTTAACTAAACAGTTTGGAAAAATAAAATTTTAAATAGACTGATTTCACACAAAAATAAATTTATTGGCTTATATAAGCCTCGTAAGTCTTCATTTTTCTGGGTAAAATGTTGTAGCCTTCCTGTCTTTCTAGAAGCTGATTCTACATATTGCCTGTTTTCACTCAAGATTGACAGTTTCGTGCAGACTATAAACATTCAGCCTTCTACATGCAAGCATGTAGATAGCTTTGTTGTGTATTTCACCACTAGAAGGCTAATGTTTAGCTAGGTAAGTAGTGGTTTTCTTGTATTTGTTCTGCAGATGCTACCTAAACATGCAATAGGCCAGGGGGACAGTGGCTCTTGGTGTCTGCACTGGTGGTTTAGTTTGTTTCAGGGTATGCTTTCGTAGCAAACCTGCAGATTGTTCCCATGCTTCAGTACATATCACAGAGCAATCTCGGAGCATGCAAACTGGGGTCTTTTGGGATGAAAATAAATCAGGTAATGTACTCCAAAGCTGTGTCTCATGCACACCAACTTTTAACGAGGACTCAAATGATAAAGCCAGTTTAAATCTACATTGAAGTGAACTCCTATGAAATGCATATAGTGTAGGGAGTGGATCATCGCTGTTTTGTTTTACAGATCTGTTCCTGTTGTACCACAGTGTTTGCCGATGTTCATATCGCCTAAAAGGAACATGCTACCTTTTGACAAATGAAATAGTTGTTTTTCATTAGTTTTAGGCATGTAACTACCTTGCTGTATTGGAATTATAGCACTTAACATAGGATGAGAACTGTCTCCCAGTCTTAACTACATGTCAGATCTCTTTAATAGAGCTCGTGCTGAAGGAGTTCCTTACAACTATTTTAACATTGCCTTCACATTGTGGATTTTATTGCAAAGTCAGAAATTCTTTTCCCAGCTGTTGAATAGGAAGTCATATGTGGAACTCCTGTAAAATTAGTTGTATTTGCGTGAAACTTATTGTAAGAACCACTAAAAAGAATCTAATTTTTTTGTTGCGTGGTTACATTCCTTTTAAAGAATTGATTAATTTGAAGCAGATAATTATCACCAGGTGTTCAGCATATGTCACATAAGCCTTGACTCAGGGATTCTCTTCTCTTGAAAGTCTGTGGGGTTTAAACACATCAAAAGACTTTTTTAAACTTGAGAGTGCTTACCATTTCTTGTAAACTGAGCTGTACAATTATTTTGTAAGCATCAGGTTGCATGTATGTTTCGTGTCACACTGGAAATTGCTCCCTGATATACTGCGGTCCCTTCTAATACTGTAATTCGCTCAGGATCCAATGAAGATGTCACTGAGAAACTTCCATCACAATTTATTGGTCATTTGATGATGTGTTACTGTTCTTGTGCTATTCTTTGTCTTTGATTATAATATTTTTTTCTTATTCATTTTTCTCTTGCTCTGAACCTGTGCTTAAGTGATCTGATCCTTTGCTCCAGATGACATCTGTCTTATTATAGATGGCTTAATGTGCAATTACAATCGGCAGAGCAGCCTTTTTAAAGTTAGGCGTTTATATTACTCTGCTTTTGAAAGCAGTGTGACTTGTTTAGGTCTGTTTCCTACTTTTAATTCAGTCCCCTGCAACTCAAAAGAAGGATAATTATGGTAAAATGTGAACATTAGGGAAGGAATCCAATGCATATAGTTACCTTTTCAGCCATTTCTAGTGTTTGAGTCAGTGGGCTAGAATTTTTGTAGTTGTAGAGGTCTATCACATCTAATTACCATGGAAATGGATTCTAGCAATGTTGAATGATTATTATGGCCTTGTAGAATAATCCTGTACCACATGCTTACTATGAAATCTAATCTAAATGGCACTTATAAATTTATCTGTTGTTTGCGTAGAGGAGGCTATGAAATCTAATCTAAATGGCACTTAATAAATTTATCTGTTGTTTGCGTTAGAGGAGGAGGAAGAGGCAAGGAAGAGGTGACAGCTTTCAGCAAAAGCTTGGGAGTGGGAATTTAATAATGATCATCCTGGCAATCTAAAGGGGCTCTTGACAAATAAAGGAGGAGGTGGGAGCCTAATGTTGTGTCAGAGGGCAAGTGAGACAGAAATGCAGAAAATATCATGATTTTGTGGTGTTGAAATAATATGTCTGTACTGTGAGATAAGAAAGATTGTTACATTTGATGCCTCTGCTATTAGTTGAAATTGTGGTTTTCTTAATTTTAGTCAGCCTTCTTATGACAGTGTTACCTTCTTTCACAGATGAATAGGATCTATCCCTACAGCACGTTTCTCTGAGTTTAAAGTTCTGTCAGCTGCCTCCAGTATCACATCTAAAAGGCTACTGCATATTTGTTACATGTTAGTGGTGGCCACCAGTGGCTCATGCACAACTGTAAACAACACTTGGCTTTTCTTATCTGCCTCAGCAGGGACAGAACTCAATTTCTTGTCACCCCTCCTACTTGAAGTGTACCGTAAATTTGCGAAGTGCAGAGAAGGTTTGAGTTGCAGTACTGTTGTAAATGCTGACATTCCTGTTGTTTGGTCAATTACTTTTCTGAGCACCAGCTAGTACTAGCACGTGTCTGGGACTTAACTGGTCAATGCAGATTGAACCCATTGACAGGGAAACAAATATGTTAAGTAGGACTCTATTTGAATATTGCTATTTAGATAACTGTAGTAAAGGCAATGCCTGTTTTCTGTGCCTTTATGTGATAGTTGCAACCTTCATTTTGTGAACTTACCATCTTTATGCCTGTCATTTCAGGTCATCTACTGAAATATCTTTTGGGTTAAATCAGGAGTTGTCACGTTTCAAACATGAAGTCATTTACAGACACATTTAGGTATCACGGAGGAGTGATTTGAAGCCACTGTAATGAGCCTGGAGCTGTAATTTCTGTAAGTTGATGGTCAAATAGGTATCCTGCAGGCTGCTCTTAGGATTTAAGTACATGATTTTCCCAGTACAATGGGGCTGCAAGTCCTGCCTTTAAACATTCCAAAGAAGTTACTGGATCCTTATAGTGATCCTTAGTACCAAAGATTTGATGTTGCAGACGTATAACCAAGTACTGATCAAGATGATAAATTATTGCTGAAATGGCTAAATGATGGTTTTATGTTGTTATTGATGACAAAGCTTAGTGAGCTTCCAAAGTAAAGTATTTATAATGTCCTGTCAGGTGGATTTGGATGTTGTCTTTGGGACTAGCCAGTGAAAGGTTTGATATTCTGAAAGTCTTGATTCAAAAGTATCCTTCTAGCAATTGCTAGTTACTTTAGATGTCTAAATTGATCTTCAGAGGATGAATATTCACATCCTGAAAAATCACTTTCCGCTAGAGTGTTAAGTCTTCAAAGTAACTAGCCAGTCATAAAAACACAATTGCCTGTAGTGAGCAAGACTTGGAGTGACAACGCGCTCTGTGCAACTAAAAATTTGGTAGTCCTTTCTCCTTTCTGGCCAGTGTCTATACTATTTTCTTGTAGCTCTTTATACAGCATGGATATGTGATGCAAGGTACGCTATGTGCTTCCCAAATAACTGCACGATAAGTGTTTCTGCTTTCTGAACAATCTGTAATTATATTGATTTTTCTTTCAGAAGAATAATGATCTGAAATTAGAATTTGGACTATGTCCTTGTCTGAGGTTTTAGGTGCAGTCTGATATATGATTCGGGAAAATAACTTGACAGTTTCAGTACCTTTCACAGAAGATCTCATTGTTGCTTAGGAACCAACATAATGTCCATGAAATGTACTATCCACGTCAGATGGTAAAAGGGTTTCATCTGAAATGTACATCTCCTGAAGCATTATGTCAGTGCTTATATGCCATCAAAAAGAGCTATGGAGATAGGCAAACTTCTGCAGTATTGGTAAGAATATATTTTACTGCCTGTCTACCTCAAAGTTTCCTTGGAACACCATAAGCTCTAACTCAAAGCTAACCAGAAAATGAGTTGTGGATAGACAACTGAAATGTCTCTAACACACTTTTTATCACATTTCCTTGTTATGATTATGGCAAAGCAGACCTTTTTGAGGAGGGTTTTCTGTATGTACATACTATCCATTTTCTATTACTACTGGGTGGGTGGGTTTGTTTCTAATTTGGCAGACAGAAGGCAGTTCTCTCTGCCATAATGTTTCTACTGTAGTACTTTTATTGCTAGCAAATACTTTGACCAGCTTAAGCAAAAAGTTAGTTGACACAGAAGGGACCACTCCGTAAGAAATGTAAATTAAATTTGGTTTTTTTTTTTTCTGGCTAAAAATGCCAAGTATTCTATCAAAGTATGTAAATTAATACCGTAGAAAATTTATCTGAGCATTTGAAAAAACAAGACTAAGGAAGAATGCATGACTATTCTCAAACCGTTCTTCCTGCAGATGACTTTATTAATCAGAAATAATTACTAGCTAAGATATAGCAGCTTAAAGAAAGATGGCACTTTTCTACAGCAAGCACCAACTGAGAGAGATCAAGCTATGTCAGAATAAAATTCTCTGAGTCAGTTCCGGACTTGTTCTACCTGATGACCTTTTTTTAACCTCACTCATAATCCATTTTTTTCCTGCTGTGACAATGATGCTTGGAAATGTTGGTTTGTCCAAATTCACTCACTTTCCAACTAATTCTACATTGCTGTACATCATCAACAGTTGGCAGTGTCCGTTCCATGCCATGTATTCTACCTTAACTTTGTTATGATACAAATCTTTGCATGAAATGTAGTGAATGGAATAAAATCGACTTTAAGGTACATAGAATGAAAGCAGAGACCACAGAAACACTGAACAGGTTTGTTTTTTTTAATCAGAGGAGCCCGTATCTATAAAACCTAAAAAGTTTTAGCCTTTCTTGATGTAATATAAACAGTTTTAAAGATTGAAGTGAACACTTTTGAAGGATGACTATTCTTCAAGAACATTGTGTTGTGTTTTTTTTAAAAGAAACTTTGCAGAGCACTTACAAAATATAGAATATGATATTGTTATTTTAATAACAAGGATTTGGTTTAAGACCTGCAGACTTTATACTAAAAAAAAAAAAAAATAATCTCTATTTAGATAATGACAACATATAATTTACACAAAGTTAATTACAGTAACTTACATCAAAGCAGCTCCAGAAGGCACACTTCCCACTCAAACAAAATAAAACCACATTTCTGTAATCTCCTACTCGCACTGTTTGAAGAAAAATACTAGCAAATGAATTAAGAATTTACCTGTGTCGTCTTGTTACTTCTTGATTTTTACCAGTGAAGAGTGCTATCTTTGTTACTGATGTGCTCCTTTTAAAGATCTGAATAGGTTTTCTGGTGATCACTCTCTGTGGCATCTTTTATGCAGGTGCTTCTTGTTGCTAAGAGATCAGTTGCTTAGAGATGGAAGTTTGTTTTTTGTAATAGATCAGGGGCCATTGCTATTGAAAGAAAATTTTGTAATTTTACCTCTACAGCTGAATGTATCTGCTGCAAAATAGCCAATGATAGAGATACACATACCTAATGCTGATTAGAATAGTAACTGAAGAGTAAAACAGTAAACGAAGTTTATAATTATGTTTGGCTCTGAATATCAAGGAAAGAGATTTGTCGTTAAACTGGAGGTGCAACTAGCAGAAATTATATTAATTCTTTGCCTAGCATATCTATACTTCTAATATATATAATATATCTATACTTCTAATTTCCAACAGAAAGGAAGAAAAGTCTGAAAGTTTTATTCTGAAATTGGGATGCACAAAGTTGTTGGTAACCTTTTGTAAGATACAATCGTACACAGACATGGGAAAGGTCTTACTGACTGTCCTATACATTTTTGTATATGCTGTTTCCTTTATATTCTCAGTTGGTTTGCTAACTCTTCAGAATTACTATACAAACTGAAGGCTGGTTTCTCTGCTTTTTTCTCTTCTTTTTTTTTTTTTTTTTCCCTGTAGCCTTGGGCAACTTGAACAAACTTAACTTAGGAAAATCCAAATGTTTACAAGAACTGCGTTAAGCAATTAAAGGAAACATTGAAATAATGACTGAAGATCTATAGGAAAAGGTGATGATGATATTAAAAGATGAAACTAACACAGAAGTGTGAATAAGGTACCTGTGCCTGTTAATTACTGTTTTGAAACACCAGCAGAAGTCTGAATTTTCTCAATTTCCGCTATGGGAGATCCTTAGCTGACTCAGCTGCCTCTTCTATGAATTTACACTTATGAGTCCAAATAGACTGTTTTGTGAAATAGGTGAAAATAATCTTTTCTTGCTTAGGCTCTCAAGTTTAGAAAGTTCAGTCACTCAAGTCTGTTTTCAGTAAGGTCGTGTTATGTCCCCTGGCAGTAAGACACTATACATCCTTGTCTTCCACTGTCAGGCCACAAATGTAAAAGATTCTCGTAAAATGTTTTCATTCTTCTTTTTCTGAATTCACTCAAGGCTTTAGCATTAGCATTTAAAAGGAATAACTAAAACCAAAATAGAACACTTTTAATAAGAGAACCCATCTAATGGGTAAAAGGGTCTTATATCTAAAGGGCTATGATCTCACTTGGAACAAAAGGTATTTAAGAGTTATGTACAATAGTTCTAGTGATGGAGTATTTTTAACTTGGGGAAGGATGGAAGAGGCCTAGAATTTTATTGAATGTGAAATCTCTTTTGAGAAGCCTTTCTTAAAGTAAGTAAGTAAATAAATAAATAACGCAGACAGTCTGGGGAGAATAAGGACTGAATTCATGCGGAAATGCTTCCAGCATTACTGCAACCTCATTGAAGATACACAGCTTGCACAAGCAGAAGCCAACATAATTTCAATCTGAAAACTGAACTCTTGTTCTTTTTCCATGTGCACACGCTCTTCTATATCTATTTATTATGCAGAGAATTGTTTACAGAATAATTTCACTGTATAATTTTCCTGGAATCAAAAGTACAAGCAGAAATGGGCGGAACTTCAGTGAATAAATCTATTCTGTCCTGTATTTAGAGCTGGTCAAATAATGATTAAAACTTGTTGCATAGTATCTGATGTTCTGAAAGGGATAAAATTACTTTGTTTTATTTCAGAAAGAGATGAGAGCTGGCTTTAATTTTTATGCCTACCTAAAAATTTTGAGGGAAATCATGCATTAATATTTTTTGTTTTAACAAGCCAGCTGGAGGTTTTTGCTACTTGTAGACTAAAGATTAACATTCTGGAGGAGCTAGATTTGGAGGCTGGTTTTGGTCCATTTCATGGTGCATTTGTTATAGATTGTTAATGTGGACAAACTAGTATGAATGATCAGTTCTGAAGCAGAGGGATAATTGTTCCATGGATAACAAATCAAGAAAGCTTTATGTAGCAGTATAAGAAAGTTACCATAGGAAGTTTCCAGCTCTTTCCGGATTTGAAACTGGTTTACTGCATTTAGTGTTGCTTTGGTTTCAGCTGTTGGGAAGAATAACAGCTTGTGTTGAAGTTTGCTTGCTAGTTTTCTTGTGTTTTTCTTCAAGTATTGGTATCTTGTGGCTTTTGTGTTCTGTCTAGGTTATAAAAGGAAATTATGATACCTCAAACCCTTGTGTGGTTGCAGCTGTCACTCACTGACTGTAGAGATGGTATGTGTTTTTATAGGTGTTGGGTCAGGCTGTAGTATTAGAGAGTAACATGCCTGTTGGAAAAAGAGCTCGGGGGGGGGCATTACGTTCATTATTGCTGAATTACAATTAGAACAAATATTAGCTTAATTTGAAAGCAACTATATCCTTAGATATTCTGTATTATACATGCAAATGGTAAGCATAAACTTCTTAACTACTCATATTCTTTTAAAAAGTTTTAGAATGAGAAGTTTGGTAAAATAAGAAATTAATACAAGGAATGCGAAACCAATACAATTTCTTTCTTTGTCAGCATGTGTTGCTTGATGTTTAGGGGAGTCCAAGAATGATCTGACCAATTTCCCAAACAAACACATTTTGATTCCTTGCTCCATGATCATTTACATAATCAAAAGTACTGATTTCTAAAAAGGAAGAATACGGTAACGTTTTTGTTGGGGCTCCTTCTTCTGTCAGTGCTATTTATCTACTTATGATATGAAGAATTTGTGCCTGAATCATAATTCGGGGCCAAGAAGGCAGTTGAATTGGTCATAAAGAAGTCACAAAAGGGTTAAATAATGTGAAAATACTTGTTTATAGTTAAACTAGGTTTTGTCAACGCTGACTTCTGTGGGATAGATCTTTAAATCAAATATTATTTCCATATACCAGAGAAAATGTATTTAAGTTCTTTCATGCCAAAGAATTCCTGGAACTTTGTATAATGCAACCAGAATGACTGGACTTGTTGTTTGCTACAAAGATCTATGGTTGAATACTACAAATTCTTCAGAGCCTGAGTAGGCATTCACTGAATTAACAAAGTTCTTTTTTATACCATTAAAAATAAGGCAATTTTTTCCCCCTAAATATTTTACAATAGACTTTTGAGAAAAAAGGATGCAAAAAGTTCTTCATAGTTGAGCAGAAAGGTACGCAACCCTGTAAAGACCCTGGGGCTCATATGATAAAATTGATTAAAGTTCTGTTTTCATAATAAGGAATTGAATCTGGTCTAGTAACTATGTATAAAAAACCCGTAACCTTCTGTTTCAGTTTACTGTTAAAGTAATTATTACTAGTAAATTGCAAAGTACAGCAGAACATTTGCAGGCAGTCTGCTTTTAGCCATTGTCTTCCATTTCTAGTCAAGACTTACAGTGCTGCCTTGATTGGTGCCTGAGTGCTTCTTCTAAGCGGCTCCTTCATTTGGCCGGTGTCTACTGCACTCTGAGACCTGTTTATATCTCTTCCATCAGCATTTCTGTGAGTTACTCTTTCATCCTTTTACAATAACATATCTATTCGTTGTCATAAATTCACCCTTTCAGAGAACAGTGTGTACATATGTAGGTGTATTTTGAGGGAGTTAGTAGCACACAATATTGGAAATCACTCATTTCACATTTTGTGCTTGAATTTTTCTTATCCAATGTCTTGGAAGGAGCTGGCCTATTTGGCTGTTCTAACATCATACTCAGTGCAGAGGTGATCTCCTTTTTTGCTTCCCCATCAAATTTTTCTTAGTGCAAATTAAAGTTTGGCTTCTCTAGCTAATGCCATTTTAAAAAGATCACCTAAGGACTCTTGTATCATGGGGTTCACTGAAATCCATTTGTATTGCCCACAGTTTTTCTTTTATGCCTAGGTTTAGAAGATCTATATTACTTGCAGTTTTAACACCGGGCTGATTTGGCAATTCTGTTTCCCAAATCTTCACAACTCACTTTCTAGGGTATCTTCCAAATCCCTCAGACTTCAGAGGGTGTTGGAAAGTGTTTTATGTGGATGTTCAACATCTAGAGTGTCATGGTGGCCCATCTGTTTCAGTAAAGTAGATGAGCTGTTATTCTGGATGTTGGATGCTAGGAAATAAATTTTATTTAATTATTTATTGGGGGGCTTTTGTTTATTTTTTAGTGCTGGGTGAACAGAGTAATTATGGCCAGGTTTATACAATCTGCCAACTGTAATAAAATAAGAATAGTCTGCCTTGTAAATTAGACTAACGAAGAATGGGCTAGATGCATGCCATAAGCCCCTTGTTTCTGCTCTTTCTGTGGAGGTCTAGTTATTTCCAAAACGTTCAAGCTATAACTACTTTCTGCCTTTTATGTTTCTATTTTGTATTTAAAGGGGCTAGAAAAAAGCCCAGATCAGCCAAGAAAAGGTGTGAGAACTTTGTGTCTCCCCTTGAAGAATAATAAACAATAAAAGAAACAATCCTTCCAGTTTTCTCCTGGGCTCCCTGGGTAGTCTGCATCTACTATGGCATGGAAAGACCACCATATTGGAACAAGAAGGCAATGCAGAATCTGCTCCCTTTCTCTGCCTCATCTGATGAAGTCGGTCTTCAGTGGTGAGTTCTGTGAAGCAAACACTTCTCCACGTAAAATCATCCTAGAGTCACCAACTCTCTTCTCAGATGATAGCTGCCCCTGTGTTAAGCAGGAGGCTGGGGCTACATGACCTCCTGAGGTCCATTTCAACCTTAATTTTTCTGTGTTCCTATTCTTCTGACATCTTTCTGGCAGCATATCTGCTTCTCTTGGCCCAATCCAACCTGTCCCAACCTTACTCCAGTTGGAAATGGAGGGGTTTATAGATCCCATTTTTCTGTCAGCCATAATTCAGGACTCTACTTGGTCAAAAAGTGTGACTAGTCTCCTACTCCTTCCTCTTTAATTGACAAAGAGAAAATTTCTGCATAAGCTTGC